GTCTTTAGAGATGTATCCGTTTCCGTCAGCGTCCATGGAGCGGACCAGGTACTTAACGTCCTTCTCATTGAGGTCACTCTTCTCCCTCACCAGCCGCATGTCCAGGTCCGGCTTCTGGAGCTTCAGTAACAACTTCTCCACCTGTGCACGACAATATCATGACCAACTGAGTACAGGAATGATAGAACGGCCAAACTATGTATAGATCTCACCCCCCCAAAAAAGTAAGAATAAAAAAATTAAATTCAAAATTGCAGTCGAATTTGTTTAAACGACCACCTGTCCAAGATAATTCATGGTCTACAAATGAATGAACACTCCTTACTTCCCCCTTGCATTGTTTGTTTACTTGTTTGTTTTTGTTTGTTTTTGTTTGGGGGAAGGGTGGGGTGGTTTGGAAAGGGGGGTGGGGTGGTTTGTTATCATTATATTATTGTCCACATCACAGTGCACGGCCTAGAAAATCATCAATTAAACTTTAAAAAACCACACACAATATGTGAGGCAGCGTGGTGAAATCAGGCGCTCGTCAAAATAATCAAATTGAAGAAACTGACGTTTTTCTGCAGGTTTGTGGATTTTTATTGAATTCTTGTTTTTTGGGCTCAACACCTCTCATGCCCATTAAAGAACTCATTTCTCAGTGGATTTTATTGAAAAACGTTGATAAAAAGCACCAAAAATGTAAATTTTCAGATTCCACGGACTCTCAAGCTAAGGAAATAACTCATATTTGAAGGCCATTTTCTCACTAATGTTACCTCTGATACTAGGTGACCCCTACTTCTTTCTTTCTCAAATATCTCGACTTCTATTCCAGATAAATGGATACTTTTTCATCAAAAACAAGCAAGACAAGTGAACGCGCTTTAAGATGATACCAACAGCTCTAAATGCCTCAAGATTGACTAGAGTCTGATTCTACCACATCATGACACATATGTGTAGAAAACCCACCTTTTTCAGAGCCACTGGTTCACCATCAGTGCTGGGGAATAGTTTGTCGATGGAGTGGAGCATCGCGTCTTTCCTGTCCTGCTCTTTGGAGCTGAACTTGGAGTACAGACGACAGAACTCGTCAAAGTCGATGGTCCCGTTGTCTGAGGACGGATTCAGGAAATGCGATGTAACAACAGAAATGATGATGAAAGTTCTGAATGGACAGTTTTTCATTTGAATAGACACAATGCGGAAAGAAGCATTGGAGAATATTGTAACAACAGGCAGGTTGATGGAAAGAGAGGCAGAGGCAGACAGAGGGATGTGGGAGGTGGAGGGAGGAGGGGGAGGGGG